GAGGGGGACCAAGATGGTGAAAGGCCTCGAGGGCAAGGCTTAGGAGGAACGGCTGAGGTCACTTGGCTTGTTCAGCTTAGAGAAGAGAAGGCTGAGGGGGACCCCCATTGCAGTCTACACCTTCCTCAAGGGGAGGTGCTGATCTCCTCTCTGGTGACCAGCAATAGGACACGAGGAAATGCATTGAAGCTGCATCTGGGGAAGTTCAGGTTGGACATCAGGAAAAGGTTCTTCACTGAGAGGGTGCTTGGTCCCTGGAACAGGCTCCCCAGGGAGGTGGTCATGGCACTGAGCCTGTCACAGCTCAAGGAGCATCTTTTTTTTTTCGTCATACGATTTAGTTTTAGGTGGTCCTGCGAGGAGCAGGGAGTTGGACTCGTTGATCCTTATGGGCCTATTCCAACTCAAGATACTCTATGATTATGCCAGGGTTCTGTATTTCTTAACACTCTGTGTTACTGGATCATATAGCAGTACAAATGGGGTGCTCATGACATCTTAGACACAGTCATATTTCCATTACATTAGTAGAAAATACTGACTGCTGGTGGTAGATTGATTATTCCTGACACAGCATGAAATTAGAGCAGCATATACAAACCATAGTTTTTCTGGTACAAAACCACTGAGACTAAATCTACTTCTTTTTATTTTCTATCATCTTTTTCTTTTCTCTCTCTTTTTTTTTTTTAAATTGAAATAATTAGTTATTTCTAAACAGATTTGAACTTGAAGGCTTACCTTGCTTTCTGTTCAACACTTTCTATTCTGTCACTGAGGCTAGCGTACCACACTTTTTAAGTTCGTGGAAGTCTGGCTGGTTCTGCATCAGTAGTCTGCCAAAATGTTTACATGTGTATGGTGATTCCAGCAACCCAGTTATTTGAGACTACTGTGTTTATAAACATACATTACCTTGCATGAAGTAAATTATGCTAGCTGTTTATAAATGTTGACAGTCTGCATTTTGCGTACTCCAGAGGGTGCTACTGTTCTAAATTATGAACAAACTTTTGCCCTGTTGTAGTGAACTGGCACTATAATTATTTTTGAGCATTTAGTCTTGTTATTCATAGGATCAGTAATTGGTTCCCAGTTCACTGTTCAGACATGCCCAGAAATCAGTGTTCAAATGGAACTGATTCCTGTGCACTTTATGTTGTTTCTACAGAAATCAGACTACAAGTGCTGCTGCACCAAATTCGCAGGAGCAAATTGCAGTGTTTAAGGGTACGCAGTGCTGTGAAAATAGGAGGCTTACACACATGAGCAGTGATTTGCAGGACTGGACCCCACATACCTTCTGGATGCGTGCTTTTGACTTCAATAAAGACTGCTGCTGATAAGCTCTGCATTGTGTTAAAGAATGAACATTGAAGAAGCATAAACCTATTGCATGTTAGCATATGATTTTCCTGTTGATTTTGCTGCCAATTGAAAGTAGCACCACTTTTAGTATTTTGCTTGTTTATGTGAAATGAAACCACATTGGTTTCATGGCATAGTAAGATACTGCGGAAATGTATGTAGATGCTGTGTAGTTTGAGGGAAATTTTTCAGGTCTCTTGTATGTATTTGAAACATTTTTAGTGATTACTACTTCATTCATTGTCCTTGCCAAAGTTCAGTAAGTAGTATGAGTTCATATTAGGCTGCATCTATGGCAACTGTATATTCTGTAGTTGTTTAGTTTTAAGTGTGCAAGACTTTTATCCAGAAAATGAATTGTGAAGCATAAATGCATAAATCTTTCACATATCTTGGAAAGATTCTGACTATAAGAGGTCATGCTAATAACTCCAGTAGGCGGCATTCATATTAGTAGCTGTCTGTTTTCTCTATATTTAGGCTTTGGAAAGCAACTGGCTTACATAGTGAGTTTCAAAAGAATAATGGTATTGATTTCTTTCCTACTCCTCCCTACATACAGTGCAAGAAATCATCAACAATGGTCGGTGTCGTGGTTTAACCCGGCTGGCAGCTAAGCACCACACAGCCGCTCGCTCATTCCCCCCCCTCCCTCAGTGGGATGGGGGAGAGAATTGTAGGAAAGGAACAAAAAGTAAGACCCGTGGGCTGAGATAGAGACAGTTTAATAAGAGAGAAGAATAACAATAGTAATAATAATAATAGTAAGAGAATATACAGAATATATATAAAACAAGTGATGCACAATGCAATTGCTCACCACCCGCTGACCAGTGCCCAGCCCGTCCCGAGCAGCGATCACTCCCCCCGAGCTGCGATCACACAGCCCGAGCTGCGACCACTCTGCCCGCGACCAACCGACCGACCGACCGACCGACTGAACCAACTAACCCCCCCGAGCATGACGTTATATGGTATGGAATAGCTCTTTGGTCAGTTTGGGTTAGCTGTCCTAGCTGTGCTCCCTCCCAGCTTGTTATGCACCTGGGCGAGCAGGAGAAGCTCAAAAAGTCCTTGAGTAGTCTGAGCACTACTTGGCAACAGCTGAAAACATCAGTGTGTTATCAACATTCTTCTGGCACTAAATCCAAAACACAGCACTATGCTAGCTACTATGAAGAAAATTAACTCTATCCCAGCCGAAACCAGGACAGGCAGCCAAATGTTATTTGAATTGGGGCATATTTGTTTTGTTAACTTTACTCTAGCTTTAGCTAGCTTTATCTTTAGCTGCTGACAGCTAGCCTCACACTCTTCTCAAATGGCCTTACCTAGCTCTGACAGTCAATATACAGGTATTCCATGCTCAGTACTAAGAATCATAACGCATAACAAGAATTTCAAGCTACAGTTCAGTGAAATTCTGTAAATCAATAGCACCAAAGAATTTTCTTCCCCATCTCCTCTCAGTAAAAAAAAATAAATATTAATTTAATCATGTAATAAATGTCTTTGATAGGATTGCACATTTCTCGTATTGCAAATAGGAAATGATTCAAGCAGGGCATGACTGTACTTCCTACATACAGTAAATAACATGGAAACTAGGTTCTATTTCACAGCAGACTCTTGCTTAGAATTTCTCAGAGTTTGTTCTGAAATAACTGAGACATGACTTTTTGCTGTAAGTTATTTTTTAGAGATAGCAAGATAAATTTTTGCAGTTTGTGGCTCAACATTTGGAGAATATTCTTGAATATCAGACATTTTTATAGAAGTTTTTGGTTAAAGCTACTTTGAAATTAAGTCTCTCCAAATGTTTAAATGTCATGTTTGTTTTCAAGCCCCAGATTTCTTAACTTCAGTACTTACTATTACTGTTTATTTTCAAAGCTGAAGTAATTTGTTGAAATGTGAATCATGCCAGAGTTTAGTTGTGTAAAGGTTGCCTCGTCTAAATGATGTTTAAGTAGAAAGACTGAATTTAAAGGAATAGCATCTCACTAATTAATAATTAATTAATGTTTCCAGCACATTCCAATATGTGCAATGGACTTAGTGCTCATGGGGATCAGAATTGGGAGTTTTCAATATTTTTCAAAGTGGTAAACCTTAGTTTTTCATCTAAGACATTTTAATTGTCTGTTGTTACAAGTTGGTTGCTTTTCTCCTGAGGCAGATATGGTCTTATCTTTGAACGTGATGCCTTCCTATCTGGTCTGGCTTTTGAGGACTTCTCCCAGGGTAATACAGATGCCCTTGGTTTTCTTGCACCAATCAGATTAATGTGGTCCAGCTGGTGCTTCAATATAAACATCATTATAAAACTTAAGCCATGTCCTGACATCTTCAAAGTTGTCTAGAGGTAATTTTCATATTCCCCATACAGAATTTCAGAATGAATTTGGAAAGAAAAATAAGTGATGGATAGTAGTTCTTTAAGTTAGACTTGTGATACAGTATATTTAACTTCTACTTTTGTTATTGGCAAAAATAGCAGATAACATTATGCTGAGTTTGCACCTCCTATAATAAACCAATGGATTTCAAACTTCATATTTCCTGTGTATTTATTACAAGAAAAAAGTATAAACCAGCAATGCAAATGCTTTCTTTGTTGTCATCTTCTCACCAATTGCGTATTTGTACAGAATTAATTGTTGGGCAATATTTTCATACACAATTGCAGTATAAACACTTCCTTTGCTTGAGAAGATGTTCTGTGGTAGTCTGGTTTTGGTTTGTGCAACAGATTTTTGTTTGCATATAGTAAAAATGGGAAAGGTACTCTTAAGCTGGCTTAAGCAAAGAAGGTGCAGACAGAGACTGATACCATATCCCTTTTCCAACTGTTAGGCTAGTTCCCTTTTATCAACAGATTTTTATTTTTTTTAATTCCCATTTACTCCAAAGCCAATACATCCTGCTTAAGGCATACAACTGGCAGATTCCTAGAAGAATGTCTGCTTGCTAGGCCTGGGAGACTGGATCATTGAATTCAGTTCTGTTTTATCACAGTAACCCTGATGTATAATAATTAACTCATCAGCTGTCCTTCAGTTTAATTACATTGTCTCAAGTTACAGTCTAGAAAAGGCAAAATTGATGAGTAAATCAGGCACTCACAAAGTTGGTGAAAGCAGTCTCCAGTACTTCTGATACGTTCTTTAAAAACAATAGCAAGTTTCTAAGCATAGTGTTTCCAATAAACCAGTTTTTCTAAAAAAGCTGAGTGGATAAAGATTAACATGGATGGTTGGTAGGATGTTGTTCACATTGAATTGAATTTCCACTGGCGTTGTTCACATTAATGAGAGCAGGATTGCATCTTTTTAGAGGTACTCATTTTATATTACTAACTAATTGTGAAATATATATTTCAGTATACTTTGGTATACACGTTAATGTTGAAAATCGCATTATGTATGCTTTTTATCACAAAATACTGTGTGATGGGGTGTTAAGGGTACGAGGATGTCAAAGGAAGGAGAATTGTGTATGTGTAGTAGGTAGATTCAATTAGTATATATGTGTATTTTCAAGATACTGAAGGCCATACAGGAAGCTTTTATGTAGCTAGTAATTACAGATACCTATATCCTTGATTTTTCTCTCTCCCTTTGTTCCTGCAGGGCCAAGGCTTTTCGTGGAAAAAAGGTCCATGGAGAATATGACATAAAGGTTGAACAGGTAACTACATGAAAGTGCTAGGTTAACGGTTGGACTCGATGATCTTAAGGATCTTTTCCAACCTAACCAATTCTATGATTCTATATACGTATATGTAGAGATAGATACATAGTCCGTTATGCTTCAAAAAACCCCTCACAAGTAGAACACTCAAAGATTTGATTATGTTTCATTCTAACGTGTCTTTCTTTAGAGGATTTTGACCATAATTTGCACAACATTAAAACCATATTGTACTCGAAAGTTGTTGCTTAGAGACCGTGAATTTCCCAGACACTCCGTGAATTACATGTTGCATTTCTGTATCACTAATTCCTTCCCTTAAGTATATACATACACTCTGGTTGCAGTGCTAGCATGTGGGGTTTTAAAAAAAAAACAAACTGAATAAATATGGAGATATAAATCAGGGTGCATCAGAATTATGACTATTTTATTTGAGCTAGATATCTGAAACTAGGGAATTAAATAAGTCTTTTCATTTATTTTCAGTCTTGAATTTTACAACTAGATGCTACTATAAGAAGCTTCAGAATTTAAACTGAATAGTTTTGTCATTGGAATTTCAAAGAGTGAGGGAGAATTATCACTAGCTGTGTGGATTCAACTTATCTAAATTCACTGTAATAGTACAGCATCTAGCTTTGCTCCATTCTTTACACCATTGAATATCTGCTGATGTTCTTGGCTTGGAAACATGGAAAGCTTTGTCAGGGTTCCTCAAGAGTATTGAGGGAGAGACAGGAGAAAGAAGACAAGCTATTTTGTCCTGGAATACCATTTACACCTAGATCAGACTATGCAATTGACATCATGCACACTGTCTCTTTAATATTAACAAAAGCTCTGTGTAAGCGTAGAATTTCCTTCGTATGGTCTCTTGTAGGACCAGAACCACCTTTAATCAGTAAGAGATTGAAAATTTCTGAACCCTGTTAATCACTTTGTAACACGTCAACACTGTGACAATCGCATACAAATAGTTATTAACAACTACTTTAGTGCTCTTTTGCGAATACCAGAGAGCATTATTTTATTTTTATGCTACTTACAGGAACCTATCTATAACATAAAATATTTTCTATCATGTACTAAGATTTTAAACTACAAAATCTATATTGGAACCCTTGTAATTGTTTAGTATGATTTATTAATTGGAGACATCAGTTGTCAATCTCAGATTAAATAGGTTTTAAGTGATTCTTCAACACTGTCAGCGCTTACACAAATATTTCAATCTCTCACCATTTTCACTGTTTTTACAATAATCTTAAAACTGCCCCTTTTGTTTATTGTAACGTTGTAACACTGATCCAAGAAAGTATATAAGCATATGGGATTTAATGAAGAGACACCCATGCTTGGAAATCAAGCACATACTTAAGCTATTCAGTTGGAATGGTGGTTAGAATAGTCAACACTTGCCTTAACTGAACACTAAATTCTGAAAGCCTTACACAAATTTTACTTAGGAAGACTTCCAGTGATACCATTTTTCAAGAGGAGACTAATGAGAATTCTGACACTCTCTATTCTGTATTAGTGTCTGGGATAGCAAAGACACTTTTATTTATCCACTAGAAGACAGTTGGCTGCATTTCAATTATTCTGCTGTGTAATGTTATTGTAAAGTGCCTTGAGAGCCTAAGCTGATGAAAGACTGTGGATAAATGAAAAACATCCTGTCCTTTCCTTTCAAATAACTGTAGATTCAGAGTATGGAAGTGATTCCTTTTAAATTCCACATTTCCAGTGTGAGAAGATACTTTGAAAAAGGTCTTCATTTGTGAATTTTGTGAGTCAATTGTTTATTAGCACCAAATCCTTTAAAAAGAAGAGTAAAGGCACATAAAGGAAATAGAAAGGGGTAAATTATACGAAGTGACACTAAATGCTATAAAAAAGTATTCTATTTATCATAGTTATTTTAACATTGCTTTTGTACTGTTCAAAACCTTACGTAAATGTTTTTTGAGTCTGTATTAATCTCTTTGATAAACCATACAAAGCAAAAATATACTCTCTACGCTTCTATGCGGGCATGAATGAGGAAGTACACTTGCTACTGCCTCAGAGTCCTTTTTTATAAAGTTTTTTACTTTCTGCTTTCTTTGTATTTGAATTTATTCAAATGTGATATGTCATATGTGGCAAGTACTGTTGGATTAATATGCTCTCAGTGCTCATTATATTCCAAATATACACCATCAGCAGTTCAGAAACTAATAGGTAGAAGAAGGGATTTGGGAAAATAAAAGTAAAATAAACCAGACTGACTAACGTGAGTCTTCTTTTCATAGGCAGAATTTTCAGAAATCAACTTGATAGCCCATGCTGATGGCAATTACGCAGTAGATATCCAAGTATTTCGAAATGGCACTAAAGTTGTCAGGTAAGAAAAACCAAATAGAATAACAGCAAAAAGCAGTAAATGTCATAATGTATGCATGTAAAAGGTACTGAATGATTTTTTTCTATATGCGCAATATGGATTTTGACTGATGCAACGCACCTCAGTCATTGGCATGAAGAGTAGGAAAAAAAGTATCTGATCAGTGCAGTAAGTCCTGTTTGTGACAGGAAGGAGATGTCTCCACATTTTGATCATATGAAAGATGGATTTCATTAAGATGGGAGTGAAGTCTGGTATAAATAACACATGATTGGGAGTTAGGGTTATTGATTTGGGTCTTATCTTTGCTTCAGAAATAAAGACAGTCTTGATAATTTTGTACATGCCAGATCTTTCCAGATGAGCAGTGTTTATATTCAGTGTTGAATATTTTCTGTTGAAACAGCTCAATTCATAGCACTCCTCTCAGGATAGTCACTGGAATGTCACTGACTGTTTGAAAGATTTCAATTTAAAAGCCTCAGATTTCACAGAATCACAGAATCGCAAGGGTTGGAAGGGACCTCGGGAGATCATCTAGTCCAACCCCCCTGCTAAAGCAGGTTCACCTAGAGCATGTTACACAGGTCTTCGTCCAGGCGGGCTTTGAATATCTCCAGAGAAGGAGACTCCACAACTCTCCTGGGCAGCCTGTTCCAGTGCTCTGTCATCCTCAAAGGAAAGAAGTTTTTCCTCATATTCAACTGAAACCTCTTATGTTTCAGTTTGTACCCATTGCCCCTTGTCCTGTTGCTGAGCACCACTGCAATGAGTCCATCCTCGTGACATCCACCATTAAGATCTTTGTATGTGTTGATGAGGTCCCCTCTCAGTCTTCTCTTCTTCAGGCTAAACAAGCCCAACTCTCTCAGCCTTTCCTCACAGGGGAGATGCTCCAGTCCCTTTATCATCCTTGTTGCTCTCCCATGCCATCATAGAAGGCTATCAGATTGGTTAGGCATGATTTCCCCTTGGTGAATCCATGCTGGGTACTCCTGATCACCTTCTTTTCCTCCACTTACTTGGAGACGACACCCAGAATGAGTTGTTCCATCAGTTTTCCAGGGATGGAGGTGAGACTAACTGTCCTGTATTTTTCTGGGTCCTCCTTCTTGCCCTTTTTGAAGACTGGAGTGACATTGGCTATCTTCCAGTCATCAGGCACCTCTCCTGTTCTCCACGACCTTTCATAGATGATGGAAAATGGCTCAACAATGTTGTCTGCCAGTTCCTTCAGCACTCGCGGGTGCATTCCATTGGGGCCCATGGATTTGTGGGTGTCCAGCTTCCTTAAAAGATCCCTAACCTGTTGCACCTCGACCGAGGGAAGGTTGTCTTTTCTCCAAGCTTGCTCGCTTACCTCCAAGGACTGGGGAGCCTGAGGGCCAGCCTTGGCAGTGAAGACTGAAGCAAAGAAGGCATTCTGTAGCTCCGCTTTCTCTGTATCTTCTCTCACTGGGGCGCCCATTTCATTCAGCAGTGGTCCCACATTTCCCCTAGTCTTCCGTTTGCTGCTGATATACTTGAAGAAGCCCTTCTTGTTATGCTTGATATCCTTTGCCAGGCTTAGTTCCAGGTGAACCTTGGCCTTTCTAGTTGCTTCCCTGCATGCTCCGGCAGCATTCCTGTATGCCTTCCAAGTGGCATTGACCCTCTTTCCACATTCCATTGAGCTTTCTCTTTTCTGAGTTTTACTAGAAGCTCCTTGGTCATCCATGCAGGCCTCCTGCCTCATTTACTTGATTTCCTACTCACAGGGCTGTTTTGTCTAAAAAGGGTTATTCCAATTGAAGGCAGGGCAATTTTACCGTTTTTTTCAGTGAGGATGTCAACAGCTTTGTAGATGCAAGGGGAGAAAACAGGGTACATCTGGGCCAAGTAAAAGCTTAAGTAAGTATTAGCAAAATTATTTCAGGTAGTCTTGTATTTTGTCTAATTTGTGGGAATAACTCCTATTTTGGCCAGTGCAGCTACATATGAGTTAAGTGTAGCAGTTATTTGGCTGAACAGTTGCATTCAGAAAGGTAGATCAAGCCACGAACAGTGATCTGGTAGTTTGTTGCTTATGTTTATCTTGAGGCAAGAGTAAAAGATCAGGGAACTGGACAGCATACAGCATGTCTTGCATCTTCGTGGTTTTGCACAACGTCTGTCCAAATAAAAGATTTGAAAATTCCTACTCATTCATGTAAAAAGAAATGAAAATATTGAAAATAAGTGTACTTTATGCTTTAAAACTTAAAACTGTTAAAAAACTTAAACAACTGTTTAATCTCTTGTGTGTTCTAAAAGTTCTGCAGCTTAATACAACAACCACTTATGCCAAACCCACAAGATTATTTCCTTAGAAGAGATTAATTTATTTTTTTTTTTTTTTAGTTTTTTTATTTTTTTTTCACAACAGTAGAAGTTTTGGAGCCAGGAAATCTTGATCACTGCTCCTTAGTGGCTTTTCTGTAGAGAATTTTTCAAAAAATATTGAGGCCAAGCTAGCATCAAAACATGTCAATATTTAATGTGAGTTGGGAACCTCCAGAAAATGGCATCTACAAGGACATATATTTGCAGTTTTTGAGAAAACTTGGCAAAACTGCTGCTTGTGTTAAGAAACAGAGAAATCTTACTGTGTCATCGGATAACTCTGATAATTAGATGACAATGCATTTTATAATATTACCAGTTTTATGGGTGATTTATTTAACTAACTAGAACTACCTGAGGTTGATAAATTTCACTCAAATTGTGATATCTGCATGTGTGTGCGTGCTTTCTGGTATGAGAAGGATGTGGAGGCATGATGGGACAGCTGTTCTCTGTTTCTATGATAACTTATCTGGAGATACAGAATATTTTTGAAAAGCAGAAGTAGTTGTGCGGGTACTTTATGTTCATATTGAATGAGGACTATGAGCATATTACTAAAAAGGTCTGAATACTGAGATGAAAAGTGTTATGTGTTATTAATGTGAGGTCCAAAGTGACCTTGTATCATCAGGCTTATGCTAGAAATACTAGTAAAATCATAGAAATTTCACTGACAAAATTTTGCTGCCTTAGTTTAGAACGAAAAAACTGTGTAACAGGCACCTGCTTGTTTCACTTCTGTGAATGGAAATCAAACCATGAAAGATGATATCTCATATTACATAATGCTGAGATTTTGGATCTTACAAATGCTTAAGCCAGGCTTAAAATTTTTCTCATGACCTTTTTCTGTATACACAGTCATTCTGTCCAATGGTAATTACAGAACTGGAACAATTATGTAAATGCATCATGTCACTTTGAGGAGCTTTTGCAAAGCAAAATACATAATTTTTATTTTTTAAAGTAAGTTCCCCCAATTCCCGATTGTTTCATTAAATCGGTATTTTAAAGGACGCTTTCTGCTCTTTACTTTATTTAAAAACACAGTTTGAGGTGATGTGTAATCCTCTTAAGCACTATTTTAAACGATTGATGGGGTCTCTCTTTCACTGAGTGGTCTGCAGTTTTGATTAAGGCATTATTAGTCCTCTTAAGTAGTATACTCATGCTGTGCCAGTAAATTCAATTTCCTTGCTTCAACCACTTGGCACACCACCATGAAACCTAGATCACAAATTCTCAGAACTATGCTACAAATATTTTTTTTTTTTTTTTTTTTTTTGGAAACTTGTTAAAGGCAAGCATTTCTTTACAAGTTTTGGTCATCGGTCTACAGTGCCATTTTAATGACTCTCAACAGCAGATCTTTATAATGCTGCTTTTGCCAAATGATGTATTACATTTGAAAGCCAATTTAAGGATCCGGCCAATATACCTTGACTCCTGCATTCAGGGTGGAATCTCAAAACTGCTTAACCAATTTTAACATGAATTTTAACCATTTTGGTTTTGTTTCCTTTTACTGAGTGAGATTTCCGAAACATTTTGGAATCTTCAGAATTTTTCACTCCAGTATACAGCTTATATTTATTCAAGGCGTGTAAATAATTACACTAATTTACTACACTGATTTATTTTACCCTGCGGTTATACCTGTTGCAGGATGTTGATAGCCTCAAGCTAATCAGTGGTTTTTCCACCTATAACATTTGAATGAGGAGAATCTCAACAGTCAAGCTTAGGAGCGAATTGCCCCTGTACTGGTGGCTCTGTCCTGTTGCATTATGTCTTCTGTTTTCCATAACCACCTTCAGTAACTAAATATCAGGGTTTGAGTAAGGCAAATATAGTATCAGACTGTTCTCAAAGGTGCGGGGTGATAGGACAAGAAGCCACAGAGGTTGCAACAGGGGAAATCCTGATTAGATACAAGAGAGAGAGAAAAAAGTGCAGTTCTACGTTTACAAATTCATTTTGACAAGTGTCTTGATCAAAAGTTGAATTGTGATTATTTCCAGTTATGGTATGATTCCTTCTGCAAGCAGTGGGATTGCTTTGTCTCCTACTGTCTTTAAAACAGTCTGACAACAGTTGTGGAAAAAGAAAATGTTCCCAAGCTTAAGTTTCTGGCAGAGACATTTGCCTGCTTTGTTTTTGATTGTCATTGCTCAGGAACTGGTGTACGTAAACTAAGAATATACTGAGAATTTATATATATGGTTTATCTTTCAGTGGGAAAACAACCTGAAAAGCCATGATAATTTGTCTTTCCTCTTAATGGAGTCGTGTTATTGACAGGATGATGATGTTTCCTGAACAGCAGTTAAGAAATGATACAGTATAGACTTTCATGCCATATTAATTCTTTCTGTCTTGTAGCATTTACCTTTACTTTTAGTGTTCTTTTAGTACTTCTGTATCCATCAGCTAGACATGTTTCCTTTTTAAGATTTTGCTGTTGAAGGAGAAACAATTTGACCGTTGACTATTAGCAATGTATCTTTTTCTTGCTAGGTCATTCAGGCCTGACTTTGTCCTTGTTCGACAACATTCATTCAGTATGGCAGAAAATGAAGATTTCCGTAACTTGATCATTGGAATGCAGTACGCAGGCATCCCTAGCGTCAACTCCCTGGAATCAATCTACAACTTCTGTGACAAACCATGGGTGGTAAGTAATGTACCGAAAAGTTCTTCTTGTGCAAAAGCAGTTAGTGACTTTTTTTTTTTGTTTGCTTGCTTGTTTAGTTCCATTTCATGAATATTGAGTATCAAACTGCAAAGTTACTTAACAGAGCAGTAAAGTAATAGTGAAAGGAATAAAAAGTAAACTAAGATATTTAAATAATTTTTTTTCAAAGAGACAGTGTAGGCAGTTTGGAGACAGAGAAAAAAAACTATGTAGTACAAATAATGAAATAAGTGAGGAAACTAACGGAAAGCCTATCCACTGCTAACATACTTCCTCAGGTGAGGAAAGTGTGTTTACTCACAACTGGTCTGGGAAAAGGAAGCTGAGAATATTTTTCATATTTGTGGTTTTGAACATAATTTAAACAGACTTTTAGCCAGCCTTTTCCTTATGCCTGTGAAATTTTGGGGGCTGTGCTTTACCAAGGAAATCTGAAGCTATTAGGTTCCTTGTTTGAAAGCTCTTTTCATAATCTTGTGCACATGGGGCAGGAGTTAGTCTTTTCAGTTACACCTAGAGTAATGAGGTACACTGGAGCATCACTGATATTTGCCAGTTTTAATGTAGAAGCTGATTCAGTTTTTCATTACATGCTTTGTAGTGATGGAGGTAGAATTTGGTGATCTTTTTGGTTCATAGAGAACTAAACATTAGTAGCAACAGGTTAAAATGTGGTTAAAAGATGATTATCAGTGGTGCAACCACTGTTCCTTTAATAGATGTATTCAGTTGCCCAAGAGCTAATGAAACTTAAAAGAATACCACTTGTTATAAATAGCCAAAGCTTCGTAAGTTTTTCCTCTGATGTCTGTGTAAGAAAAGAACAGATGTCAGTATTTTTCACACCAAAGGAAAGTTTTACCGGAATACTTTTTATTGCCTTGAAGATGTTTGTTTTTTCACACTATAAAAATCCCTCTATAAGATTGTCAGCAGGACAAACGTAGACCTCTTCCAGCTAATTTTATCATACGTCTATGTTGCAGTAAGCTACAGTGGGGAATAAAGAATTGATAGAGCATTTATAACTTTTCAGAATACAGAATAAATTATTGTGCATTGCAGAATCCATTATTTTAATAAATCACATTTTCTATGCTGTGTGGCATTTCTTAATGGTTTGATTCATTGTATGCAATAAAGCTGAGCACTGGAAGCAATAACAGTAGCATTTGTGTGTAATAATGATGCAATAAAAAGTAAATGAATAATTCTCCCTTGTAATATTCTTCTGGTGGCATGTGTCATGGCTGTTCTTTCACCAAACCAATTAAGATATCTCTTTCTTACAGCTGCTCTTGTTGCACATAAAAATTCTCTGGTGCTTTCTCACTCTTGTAGTAATGACTGGGAGCAACTAGGAGTTGTAGGAATATTTACTATAGTAACTTGAAGACCTGGCAAAAGCAAATACAAGGTTACATGTGTAAAGTAATTGTCATGTTCCATATCTTTTTTTTTTATTCTATACAGTACACCTCACAAACAAATAATGAAGTGTTATGTTTATAAGGTCTTACTTGAATTTAGAATTATAATAATTTTTAAAAAGTCTTGAATTATGGTAGAGCTTTTTTTTAAGGTGTGATATAACTGTTCACAATTAAATGGCTCTCTTCTGACTTGCCATATCTGTATCTTTGCTTTTTGCAAAGATTCCCTTTTTGGCTGAAATTTCTGTAGGCATATTCAGCACTCATGAGTGTCCGTGTCAGTTCTGCAGCAGTGCAAGTAACCAAGCATGTGCTCGGACTTACCATCAATTAGCCCCTTTCTTCACAGCCTGTACAGGATGCCTTTCTGGACAATTCCCTTGTTAACATGGATGACCTGATACTTTTATAAAAACTATTTCTGTAAAAATCACAAGTTCAAAAGCCATATAAAAAATTAGCAATCAGAACTCTAGATAAAGGCATAAGTAACAATCTTTATTAATTGATGAGAAATAGATTGACTTTCCTGCAGGTAAAATTTGAGTGGCAGAAGTGAATTGCAATTTCTATAACAGCAGGAGATAAAATAGTGTGTCCAATGGAATTAAATTGAATTACTCACGAGCAATTGATCTTGCTGACATCAGTGTAAAATCAGGAATAGTATAGAGCTGCTAGGAGGGGAAGTCAGGAAAGCTAGACTAGTTATAAAAGGGCTACTGGATAAATGGAGAGTTAGAATCCAACATACAAGACCTTTGTTTTTTAAAATACTGTTTTTCAGAGTATGAGGTCTTTACTTTTTGTAAAACATATGGCTCCAGATGTACAGCATCTGTTTTAAGCCCAGAGGACAGAGCTGTGCCCTGCATTAGAAAAAGAAGCACCTGCCTTTAATTTTTTTCAGTGGAACTCTTTTCGTACTGTGTCTGCAGACGCACATGGGTTTCTATGTCTTTGCCAATAGACAGTCAGCAAATTTGTATTTGATCTGAGGCATATTACTGAAAGATGGGGGTGTGGTGGGAAGGTTGCCAGGAACATACTAAAAACATTTCTGAAAACAAGTCTTAAAGCTTGTGTTTTCTGATGTCAGGACACACGTAGTTCCCTTGAACGCACATCAAAAGTTCAAAGCACCGTATAACCCTTTGAAAAGTTAGGATGCTAGCAACCATGGTGAAGAAAATATTGAAATGAATGTGTGCGGTGAGATGTTTGCATACTGTAATATGTTAATGATTTGGGATTATTACAATACTGTTACTTCACTTCTGTGATAACACTTACCACCTACCTTATGAAAAATTCATCATCCTGGCTTGTGAGATGGATTTCACTTAAATGCTGGTAAGAAAGTCAGAAAGCTACTTCCCTAGGGGAGAAAGCATGAATTTTGTAAATAAAGACTAAGTTCTTTGTTAGTGAGTGCGTGCAGAGCTGTGGAGGAACCATTTTAAGGCTCATACCCTCTCCTGCCACATTGGAATGTTTCATTGCATTGACATGTTGCAAAGTAGTAGTCATATGCATGACTTATCCCATTCAAATGAGATAAAAATTCTGCCTGGTTTAATTTATAGCTACAATGAGTTAAGGTGAGGCAAAAATGTATACTTCCCTCATTGGATTCTTCCTCTGTCTTATCTCATATCTCATGGTGTGCAAACCCTGTTGTAAAGCATTTACAGAAGTTTTATAATAGTAAAAAGAAAAAAAAGAACATAATTAATTACCCAAAGTTATGGTTTGAGATTATTTAAAGTAACAATCTAGATATTTTATTATCTCTGTTTTCCTTTGGAAAATGTCCTTCAAGAAGTAAGTGAGATATTGCTTAACTGAGGCTTATGTGCTTGCATGTAGTCTTTCTGATAGTACATGATGTAGGTAAGCAAAGTAAGTAATTGCGGAGGCTGGAAGTAACTGCAAAATGTGATGATAATGGCAGTGCTTGCAGTAACAGGTAAAACCTCATGCTTATGATTCAGGCTGGAAAAATAATATTTTAAACCCCATGATTTTCCAGTGTATTGGGTTGAATTTTTTTTTAAAAAAACTTTTGTCCTGCATGCATCCTTTTGCATACTTCCTATTAAGATTTATGTGAAATTTGCATGCTAAAGTGTTTACATCAATTAAACCCTGCTCTTTAGCTTCAGTTGCAAATACCACTGATGGGGGTGCAGTCTTGGAGTACCCCAGATTACTAACTCTTCACCAATACTGTATACAGCAGATTGCAAATAAGTGGAATTATGCAGTGAGGTAGAGTTAACTGGTGAGTACAATAAACATGCACACTCTGACTCACTTGTCAGGGACCACAAGGTTTAATGTCCATGGCTGCTATAGATAGAACATTTCAGTTAAACCTGTACTGTGATATACTAATTACATGCATTATAGTAGCTGGATTGCTACTTCTAGGTTCAGATAGTGATAAACATTTCAACACTGCAGAGATTACAGAATTGCTGCAATTGTATAGACCAAGTGTATGTAATTGAAGAGATTCCATGATAGCAGTTCTGGTTCCTTTAATGGAGAGGGAAAACATAGCTGCATCTGTAGTCTGTTTTCTTGTTAGTGTGCCTTGGGAAGCTATGTAACAGTGGTTGGTACAGAAGGCTTCAAGGATCTGCTGATACATTAATTATGCATTTACTCTGGTGAAGGAGATGGCACAACCTACAACGTAATAATGGGTCTGCAAAAAACATTTGTGAGCACAGTGACCTTAATTAGTTGTTGCCATGGAATAGTCTGTATTTAGCTTGAAATACTGACATGATGTAATCACAGAGGGAACGTAGAAGGCCCACTGTAGTGAGTCAAGCTACTGCGTGGCTGTAATGGCTTGTGAAGGGACAGCGGTCACTGCATGGATGGGAAAGCTGGGTCCTGAGCAGGCTTGGCTGCAAGGGAAGTAAACTCTGATAGCATGGTGACAAACTGCTACATTGGTTCAGTAATGTGGGCGATAAAGGGAAAAAAAAAATAGGAACTGTGTTCTGGTCAAAAGCTCGCAGAGTGGAATTAAGACCCAGAAGACAGACATATCTGTATCATTTTAAAGACAGCTGAAAGATCCTGTCATTTTTTACATAGAGCTCCAGACGTGAACCCATGTTGTACTGAAACATCTTCAAAAGATCACTGGGACTTTGCTTCATTGTAGGAATTTACTGTTATTAAGGGTTTTAAGTGTAAGACCAGTGCCAGAGAACACTTTGTAATGCCAAAATTTATTTCCTTGCTCATCTGCAATCATTCTGAGGGAGGGCTGGTTATGGCTTTTCCTTTTGTTGAACTTGGTAGTATTGTAAATCTTGCAGTTCTTGTTTGTTTGTTTTCCTACAGTTTGTGAGTGGAGAGCCAAATACTTTTTTGCAAGTTTGTTGACATTCTTTTTTGCTCCTTTTGCCAAGCTTACATAATTCTATGCCTTCATGTGTTGTATTTTGCTTTGCATATCTTTTGCAGATGATTTTCTGCTTGCCTGTCTTCGTCTTTCTGGTCTTATTGAACACTTCATTTCTC